ACGTGCGCAGCAGGAAACACAATTAGGGGATCAGGAATGAGATCCTAAATCATGCCATACGGCCCATGCAGGGGGAGCCCAGGATCATGATACCCAGACTCCCTATGCACTGGCAAGTAGCAAGTCAGCTAGCTGATCAGTGCTCCCAGGCTTGGGAGGGCACCCTAGTCAAGGGCTGCAATGCACCTATGAAGCTAGGAGCCCCGAGCAGTTGACTGCTGCACCCAGCTCGAGGTTTGGTGCCCTGATGAGCAAGGCCGCACATTCGATTTAAGGTGGAATGGGAACCAACCACAAAATTATTAAACATTGTCTAATAACTTTGCGACTTATTCCCTGTTTTAATGCAGCATTAATTGCATGAACGTGGGGGTAAGTTACTACCTAAAGTATGATTAACTAGTTAATCACATTTGAAATATAACATCTGCCAGGGGCCCGAGTCTGTTAACCCTTGAAAATGTGAACTGCATATTTCTCCAAACCCTACCAGCTAGAGATTTGGCTTTTAAATGAACAAGGTAACAGTTTGTGGGGCACGGCTGACCATAACACTACCATACAATTGCCCAGTCTCAGCTCTGACTATTTCACAACCTTTGGTCTTGCATCATATTCACATACACAGGTCTGAGCAATCTAGACTCTGCAGGACAGACCAAATTAGTATTTTACATTCTTATATCAGTTTTCATCTTAAGTCGATGTAAACACAGAAAGTGTTATACAAGAATGGCAAATCAGCGGTCTGACTTGCTTGGTATCCTGTCCGTCAGTAGAAGGGGGGATATTTCTTTAACCCAAACAGATATATAGATAGATAGATTTTAATAACAACTCGAACAAAACTGCATAACATACCATCCATCCACCAGCCCTTCATTGACAAACCACGTGAGCTTTCTTTTAGATAGCACAGTATTGTTGAGGTTCAGACGGCTGTATTCCCAGATGTATGGCTTCCTTATACCCAAGGCTTCAATGATCCAGTAGAACTGTTCATCTCTGTCATGGTATTCTGTTGTTCTCAATGCATGTGTAACACCTTCAATACTGTCAACAATGGGGCAGGCGAAGTCATATGTAGGGTAAACCCTAAAAAGGGCAAAGCTTCAGTTAGTATGCCAAAAGACCATAGTTTACCTGAATTTTAAAGTCCAACACCTTTTAAGCTAAATGTTATTCTGATTTTTATTTTTTTATTTATTTTTTTTATAAACTTTCAAAAAATCCCAAGATTACTCCCAGGATTCTCAAGGCAAGAAACAGTTAAACTAGCACATGCACAAAAGACCCAAACAAAAATAAAACAATGTTTTCAATGCAAAAGGTAAAAAACAAAATCAAATACAATTCAGATACAGAGAAATTAAGGTAGTGAAGTATTTCAAGAAAAAGGAAGTTATGTACAATGTTTTCACATGCTTTCATAATGTGAATAAAAAAACTGCAGTGTCTACCTAGCTCAAAGTTCAAGTCAGATAAACTGGCACTGACTGATCAAATACAAATGGGAACATTTTGATCCTTTGAAACAAAGGAAACTCTACTCAGAGAGAATGGATGAAAATAGATGTTTCAGGTGAGCAGTGAACCATAGTCTTGTGCAGCTAAGTAGTCTTAGTTCAATATATGTGCTGTAACTCTGCATAGTGCATAAAAAGAGCGGTGCTATGAGAGAACAGAACTCGCTCAGGTAGTGCAGCTGAAGGATATAGCCAGTTAAGTTTAAGTTGTATTTAAGTTTTGAAACCTGAAGCAAACAAAATCCAATAATGCAGCTGCCTGAAATAGATTCAACATAGTTTGCTAAAATTTAGTAAAGGACAATGATGTTCTGTACTATTTACAAAAGGAGAACACCACTCATCTTGCAAAGATACAGAACAAGGACTCAGAATTCTTAGTAAAACATACTGTTCAGAAAGTGGCCACATGCAGGTTTTAAAAATATTTTGAATTTTTAGTGTCTTCAAAGAAGTTAACTACACATTCTGATTGAGAAGATGCTACAAAGACCCATGTAAATAAACAAGAAACCTGTCAAAATGTAGGAAACTCTGGAAAAGCAGCATAGCCAAAAAAAAACCCCAAAATCAATATGAACCCAAAGAGCACATACTTGTAGGTATTTCCAGTGCGTGGATGTGGCTGGTTTTTGCAACGATAAAGAGTTGGATCTCTCATACATCCATTGTTGCAACTCATGTCTATTTTTGCTCGTAGACAACAGGTTTGTCCATATTCTGTTCCCTTTTTCATTTCTTCCCACATTTCTAAATTCTTTTCTACAGCTAACAAACAAGAATTTTAAGATTTTCTTAAAATGTTACTCATCTGGCCATAGTAGCATATTTTGATTCCTGCATTAACAAATATCAATGTCACCCACTCTTTAGACCCAGTACAGTATAGTCCTGAATTTCTTTTACATATTCAGCATATAACATTAAAATCCAACGGCATGGCAGACATTACCGTGTACATGCAATAGGTCAATCATATATACAGAAAACTCATTTTATCTAGCTTTATAGATCAAAGCACTAATCATCATTTTATCTAGCTTTATAGATCAAAGCACTGCTCCCCTCAGCAGCCCCTGTGTCCCCACTGGCTTCCTATGCATTCACAGCAACTAAAAACAGGTAGTAAGATTAATCAATCACCCAAAATTGTATTTCACTAACAAAGGTAACAAAAGGTGGGAGCAGAGCCACAAAGTATCTTACAGTTATTTCTGTGTTTGGATTCTTTCCTCTGTTCACGCTCCATTTTCATTTGTTCTGCAGGAGTGTTATCCACATAAGCTTTCCCTTCTTGAATGAGCTTCTCTGCGTATTTCATTATTGTTTCAAAATGATCTGAGGTATATGTAAATTGATCTGGTTTGATGTGAAGCATCGCAACGTCTTCCAGAATAACCTGAAAAGTGTTGTTCTGTAATATTCATAACTGAAAAGAAACAGCTAACTGTTCACTCTATGTATGTTAAACTTTTTCAGTTTGAAATGACCCTTTTGCCAAAAGGCATCACTATATTAATACAAGACATGAATTAAAATAAACTGGACTAGTTTGCCGTTACTTCACAGAATTACATAAAGGAGACCCAGGATGATGCTTGCTGCAGAGCAAGAGAAACTGAAGCCTGGTATCCGCTCCTCCAAGAGAGAATGGGACAGGAAAAATCAGATAGGAAAAGCTGCCACCCTAAATTTTTGTTGCATGTTTAATCAAGTAAGAACAGCTGCAAGCCTCGAGCCACCTATATGAGGTTCCTCTATCCAGCCACCAGAAGCAGCATAAGGTGAAAATAGATATTTCAATTTTTGCTATCTCAAAGATTTTGCAAATATTAAGGCGGCGGCTATAAGGATACATTTTCGAAGAAAATTTAAAATACTTTTTACCTGCCTGGGCACCCGGGATATTTTATACGGTATTTCCTATATGAAGCGGGGATTTTTTAACACAAGTTATAGCAGAGGCGGGCAATTATTTTGGGTAGAGGGCTGCTTAGTGAGTTTTAGCAAGCCATCGAGGACAGATAAATATTAATTTTCTAAATTTTTAGGGGTCCCGTGGGCCAGATGGAATGGCCTGGCAAGCCACATCTGGCCTGCAGGCCGCATTTTGCCTACGCCTGAGTTATAGCCACTGAAGCCATCAGTGCTTTTAAATTAGAACTCTGGCTGCAATTTGTGGTTAGGCTATTTAAAATTCAATTCTCTAAACTGGTTGTTATCAAACATATAGGCAGCACAATAATGTGAAGCAAGTACTAAGGGGAGAAGATAAGGGGGTATTGGACCATAAAGTCTGGCTTTTAAGGGAAGTATAAGGCGTACTACTAATATAGATACACCTGTACATCTATACCAGTGATTCTCAACCAGGATGCTGCAGCACTGGGGCTCACAGGGCTAGCAGAAGGGGCTGCAGGGCAGATGGCTTTAGCCACTGTCGTACAAGACCCCAGTGGAACAGCTTTGGTGGCAGGGGCCACCACTGTTCCCTCACATACAGATCAGAGGTAGGGAGAGGACAGGTGGAGAGTGCAGAGCAGGTCTTGCTGCCCTTACCTAGCACCACCAAGTCAGTGGTTCTGAACCTTTTGAGCCTCAAAGTACCCCTAAATAACTTTTCCGAATTTAGAGTTAGCTCACTGATTCTCAACCAGAGTGCAACTACATACAGAGGAGTTATGTAGGGATGCTTTGAAGCTAAAATGGTTGAGAACCACTGGATCTATAGATACAATTCAAGGTAACTGCATGGTTTTCTTCCAGAAATGGCTTCCATTGTTCTCCACATACCTTTTCAAAGTCTTCTTTTTCTTTTTCAGGATTTGTGTCATCAAACCTCATGATGAGCTTTCCCTTAAAGTTAACCTGATAGTGTTGATTTAGCAGAGCAGCTTTTGCGTGACCAATATGTAAGTACCTAAAATAAAGATATTTCAGGGAAGAAAAAGAAATTAACAAAAATTTAAGTGTGAAATGTTTCTGTAAGCATACAACTTCCTAGCTTTTAAATTAATTCTTTCTTGTCTCACACCTCACAAAAGAAATGGAAATTTTAAAACCAGTTTATGCCATATCTGTATAAACTTTCTGTATAACAATTTAATCAGAGGTTTTCAAATCTCTAATATAAAACTCAATGAAAATGTATGACTAAAATTTCTCTTTGCAATTTCATAATCTATGTTTTAGCATAAGCCTATTTAGCTCTTTGTTGAAAAGCAACACAGTCAGCATTTTAGAAGTTCAGCTTGTTCAGAAGTACTTGCAGTGCAGTTATTCTGGGTAACTGGCAAAACATGAGCAATTCAGACTGGCTAGTAGATTCCTTAAAAAAAAAAAAAGAAAAGAAAAAGTAATCTATGTACTGGAGTACTGCCCATCAAGAATAACTGGGGGGGGGAGAAAGACACGACACGACAGACAGGGAAGCTTCGGGGGGGGTGGGGGGGGGGGGGGGAAAAGAGGAGGGGCGAAGCTTGCCCCGCCATCCCCTCCAAGGATGCCCTTTATTATAATTTATTTTATAGTAACAAAGGCACCAGCACCCACAAAAAACTCAGATTAACACAACTATTAAAAACTGCTTCTATACAATATTTCATTTTTCCAAAAATTAACATGTTACCTGTTATCTTACCTTCAGTTTACAACGAGGTGTATTTTTTAACAATATAAAACACCAAAAGCCACTTTTTCCACACAGTATTTGTCAAGTTACTCATTTTCTATACACACAAACTATTATTCAAATGTCACTTGTTTATTATATTCAAGTCACATAATGAGAAAGAGTACTGCAATGACCAAAAGTTACAAGAAGCTAAATAATGAGCCTACAGAAAAGTATTGATAATGAATTCTTTGTTTTCTCAGATTATTCTAAAAGGAAATGGGAGACTGAAAGCAGATTAAGAAATATTTTTAGGAGCTCATTTATTTTTTAAATATTATTTTAATGTTACTTACGAGATGAAGCTCCAAGGAAGAAAAAGATTGAGTGACCTTTGCTAAAAAGTTTTTTAAAAAGCATTTTTAGCTAAAAGGCAACTTTCAAGGTCACTTTAATGATGAAAGTGTCCTCCAACGTACACCAAATTTGTCCTCAACAAGCAAACCAACTGACCAACATCATCGTGACAGTTATTGAAAGCAAAGTGAGTAAAAACACAAACCATTCTTGAAACAAGTCATCTTACCCACTGGCCTCAGGAGGAAATCGTACAATAACCTTCCCCACCTCTGCACCTGGGAGTTCAACAAATTTCCCAACATCCTGTTTCTTCTCTGTTGCCTTAAAAATAGCAACATGATTAAACATTTTATGCAAACTGCACAACCAGACAAACGCCTGAAGAATTTTACCATATAATAAAATGTTACCATATAATAAGAACTTACCACGTTAGTCTTTGGTGTAGCAGCAGCCCACTTGGTACCCACTGACTGAAAGGCACACTGTGCTTCAAGAAAGTCATACCAGCGTTTCACATGGACTGGAGCTTTGTTTTGTTGCAACTCTTCCTGCCATATATTACTGCCTGTTTGGAAACAGACTATTTTTAAAGTTGTGAATTTACAATTGGATTAAATTTATAAATTATAACTTGATTAAAATATTCTGTACCATTTCTTTCATGAAAGCAATTTCTTGAACACAATGCATTTTTTTTCAGAGTAGATTTATGCTACAGGCTGCTGCTTTAACTGTGGTGGTAGCACTACTGACCCCCCTACTGTGGATGCAGCTCTGCTGACAGGAGTTTTTCCTGCTTTCATGCCAGTTTGCCTGAAAAGCAGGAGCTCTGCCAGCAGAAACCATCTTTTGCCAGGAGACCTGCATCTATCTCAAGGTTCTGCTGAAAGGGCTTTGTGATGTAGATAAGAACTTAAAGAATGCAGTCTTTCCTAGAGCCTTTCCCAAAATAGCATCAAGAAACATCTTCATTACTACCTGAACTAAAGTCCAGGATATCTGTTTTAAATATAGTGCTATGCTTACACCAACAGTCTCTCTCTCACAGCAAAGCTAATTAGCCTGTGCCTTGCACAGCATTAATGCAGCTACAGTACTTTGCCATGCCATTAGGCATGCACACAGTACAGTACAGACATACCCATACTGCTTCCAGGGAAACAAGAATATAAACTTCTCTGTACTGTACCTACTTCCAGGATGTACTTTGTAAAACTGAAGCCATGGAAAGTAAAACTAGGCCTCCAACTTACAAGGAGCAGTTGTAGCTAGGATGGACAAAGATTTTTGTGGGTGACATCTTTGATTGGATCAACTATATGTTTGGGAGGGAGATGGATGAGCTTTTGGGTACTACAGTACTCTTCTTAAGATCGCTGAGAAAGGGTACTGTGGTACCGAAAAGCTCATCTACATCCCTCTGCAACCACAACATTGATCCAATCAATAGTATCACTCACAAAAATCCTTGCCTCAAAATATGTTCTTAATGTCTTTCTAAAGGAAAAATGTTACTTTCAATTTCGAGTCTCAGAGCTGCAACTTCAGAAAGAGATCAGGCAAAATGTTAAACCATGCCGACATGGTTTACAGATTGGCATGTTATATCCAAGCTCGACTGGCATGAATAAGTGTCCAATAGACAATTATCAGTGTTACTACAGAATTTCATTTTAACAAGCTAACTCACTCACAGTTTAACATTATGAGAAAAATACAGAATACGTTTTAAGACACCATAGCAGATAAAACAATAATTGTTTTATTAATGCTATTTCACTAAAAAATTGTTTACAAAATTCTGTACTAATTCGCACTCTAACTAATCTCACACACACATTTAGCCAAGAATAATTTCTCATATTTTACAAAAAGACAAAAAAAGGCTACCATGTGCATTAAAAAAAAATATGAAAAAGAGTATTATCAATCACAACAGTGTAAGCTGTATTTAAGAAATATAAAAAATTATTTTTAAAAGGATTTAACCTAAGACACAAACCCTCATGTTTACCAGTCCATAATTACAGTCCACCTTGCTCTTATATATTCCTGCCTATTAAATTGTTGCTAAGACTAAAGGGAACAGATTTAAACAGTATGCCAAATTTGCAAACCTGCTACAACACTTGCATAACTATTAATACCTTTTAGTACAGCCCAGACACACAAGTCTGCCAGACTCAGGGAATTCCCAACCAAATAGGTTCTCAGAGACAAGCAGTGATTGAGTTCATGGATTGCTGAAGGGAACTGGGATGGAGCAGATAACTTTGTAGCACTGAATTCCAGCCAATGGTCAATCTAATTTTAATGAACAAAGAAATACAGATAACATTTAAATAGGTAAAGACATTCTTATTGATAAAAGTAAAAAAAAAAGCACAACCAAGTTTATTAAAAGATACAAAGTATTAATTAGGGCACTGAATACAAATACTTTTGGGGGGGATATTGGAGAACCTAGAGTTTAGGGGTTGGCAATCTATGGCCCGCAGGCTGGATCCAACCTGTGGAGCTATTTGATCGAATTGCACACGTGGGGCTTTGGCAGCAGTCGCTTCCCTGTGTTGCTGCAGGGAGAAGCAGCAGGTGTCATTGTCTGGTGCTTTTCCCTGTGTTGCCATGGGGAAAAGTGTAGGTGGCAGCTGGGCCCTACGGGTCACAACATCTAATACTCTAAAAAGGTTGCCAACTGCTGCCCTAATTCATAGCGTAAGGTTCATGAACTATTCACAGTTTACCAACAATATAATCTGGGGTTAATGCAGAGTTGAGTTACAAGCTTAAGGAAAATTTCTACCCTCAGACTGGACTCAGACTGCTGTCACTGACATTCATGAAATTATTCCAGATTTACACAGGTATAATGGAACATTTGATCTCTGATGACCAGCAATCTAAGCCTGTGCCTTAATCTAAAAGATGACATTACTTCCACACCTTTAAACTGTGGCCTTTTAGACAAAACATTACAAAAAGCTAATGACTTTAGCTTCTCCTAACACATATAATTTAAAAAAACAAACAAACAAACAAACAATGGAACTAACCTGCTCCTTCAAATCAAGAAATGGCAAGATTCACTAGTGGCATTATACATGAAGTACCTGAAAATTGAGTTCTGTGTTCCATTTGATTCCCTCTTAATCCTGGCAAGCTACTAAATAACTTAAATTCTACACCAACTTTCCCCACATCTTTTTTACCCTGTTCTTTTAGTCTTCCCTTTTCAACTCCCCTGCCCCCGCTCAAAAGATTGTTTCTATAAAGAAAGAAACATGTCACTATTTCTCAATGTTTCAATCTCTAAGACTCAGTCCCTCAGTTGTGATTAATGGCACAGCTTAACTGACTTCAATGAAGCCACACACATTTTACCAGCTGAGGGTTTGGTTACACGTGTACAAACTTAATATCTCAGTTGTGAAGTCTCTCATACATATGGAATGGCTTTAGGACTGTAAGAGTTCTGTGAACTGCATTAGGAATACTTCTAACTGTCAAGCCAACGTGGCAGGCACAGATGTAATCAAAGAGCTACAGAATTCAACTCTCTCACTTGCAATTACATCCAAAAATATTCCTACCACAAATGCAGTGGTCATAAAATTTTTTAAAACACATTTTTTCTTTTGGGGAGGGGGGAATAAAACCCCAAAAGTTGAGAGACGTATTTCATCAGAATTATTGATCTTGCAAACATGTTTTTGGAGTGCAAATGTTTTGCACCTAAATCAGAAATATTGATTGATAATCTAATTTGAGTTAGAAAAGTTAATGGATTTAACCACAAAGAAACAGAAGCCATTCTGGGCAATACACTAAAGCAGCACTTTCTTCTTGCATCAAAAAAACCCCAAACCAAACAGTTCCGAGGCTTAGATGAAAATCTCTCTCTGATCTAAAAGGAATGTGGGAAAGCAGGGAAGCATTAATGTCCTCTAAATTCACAGGAAACAATTCTGTGACTTCTATCCATCTTAGGCATCACCTTTAAAATTCAACACATTCTGGGCTGGACTCAGTGCTAAGTTCATATATCAAGTCCTGATATTAAGGTAACTAAGAAAGGTCTTTTGTGAGGAAAGTTTAGGGTCATTTTTAGCTTTCATTTTGGAGAAACTTGAGAATCTAGGGTATCCCAGGAAGTAGTTTTTCCAAACTGGCAAAAGCTGGCCAGACTCCCAGATGAGAATGCATCCTGCCCAGCTGCACTGCAGAGATCAAGAATCAGGAGCAATTTTTGGCCCAGCATTTCACAAGGCAAAAAGAGAACCAATATGGTACTTGGGGATACAAATCAGAGAGATCTCTACGAAGCAGTTAATTTGGCGCTCACAGTTTACTCAGCTGCACAGCTTTAAATCACAATAGCTGCCAGCTACAAAGCAAGGAAAACACATAACCTATCAAAGACTTTTAATGTAAAAATCAAGTATGCATAACTGTCTCACCTCTGTGTGCTCCAAAAGATTTGAACCATATAGCCCAGCAGAAGTGGCAACTCTAGCAAGATAGCGGGCTATAGAATTTGCATCAGTGAATGTAACATGACTAAAAAACAAAAATTAAAGATGCATTAGTCTAGTATCAGCAACTGATATACTATTATACACAAATTATTCTAAAGATATTAAATAAGCCATCAAACATTTTTGGATGAAACAGTGGACATAAAGTTACCAGAACGATAAAAACACATTGCAGTGAAACATTATTCACCCCCAACCTTCTAGCAGATCACACCACTGTTAAATGAAGGGTTAACTGAACTAATTACATGGCCAAAAGTAATTCATAATGACATAACAGGAACATTGACTCTACTGCACCCGAGAACTGACAGAATGCAGAGGTACTGCCAAGACTCTAGTACACAAGGAGTTAATTTTCTTTTTTTCTTCTTTAGGTGTCTGTACAAAGAGCAGGACTTTCTAAAAAAGGGGGGCTTTTGGAAACGCACAGTGGAGAATGCATAGCTCCTTATCCAGGCTGAGGGATGGGGTTGATCCCACATCAAAGCAAATATCCTTCAATTTGTTATCCATTTTGCTTCTTGTTCACTGCTTTGATTTGTATTTATAAGGATTCCCTCATGCTGAACAGGCTGTTTAAACTCAGTTTCCCCACTGATTTAAAGGTTGCTGCAGAACATATTTCTTTCTGTATTTTGCCATCCCTTCAATTGCTCCTACACTGTCCACATGGGAGTAGAACTACACCAACTGTGATATAGATCATTATTTGCATTACAGCTGTTTCTAGAGGCCACACATGAGTTCTGTATGTAGGCTGAGAGAGCGTTTCTCCAATTACAATCTACATAGGCACCAAAATACAAGGGGACTTGCCAAGGTCACACTGCAGGTCTGTGACTGTGCAAACAGCTGGTGCTGCCTCATTTTGGATGCTAGTGCAGACAGGGGCCCACTAATGGCAAACATTCCAAGAGATGGAAGCTATCTGAAAAGCATATTTGTTTTAATGGCTCATCCTCTCCCATTACATCCAATCATCTAACCATGCCCAATCTCCTATTCTTAAGGTTTCTAGCTTCAAAATTAAATTTTAACAGGCTATGAAAATGTTCATATCAATACTCACAGGGAAGCTCTGAGACTTTGTCACCACCCCCCCTTTTTTTTTTTTTTTAGCTAAGATGTGCATCATAACAGGAAACAGTTTCTGCTTAGCTCTCACAACCAATTTCCAGAAACTTGCAAATTTGTTAGTTCCCCGTTTTCCTAAATACTAATTAAATGGCAAGAAAAAGATGTAAATGTTTTATTCTACTAGCTATCAGATATGCAAATATGATCTACAGAAGGGCAATGGACTGGAACTCAGAAGACTGGATTCTGTTTCTTATTCTGCCACCACTTGGCTGAGCGACCTTGGGCAAGTCGCTTCCTTTCGTCACTTGTAAAGGAGGATAAGCACTATAAAGTGATTTTATGTCTACTGATGAAAAGCAATAGACATGATGCTATAAAGCTAACAATTATTCATCATCATTGCTTTTATCTACATTATGTGCACTGCTGACTCAGCAATATTTGGCGGTGCTGAAACCTAAAAAAAAGTACATTGTTGCCCACAGCTTGAGTACAGATGCCAATCCATTCTAGGGTGTGCAAACTCCAAACTCCCATCCCCTTCACTGAGAGTTGTGTGTGTACAAATAGTATGACAACCCAAATGGACAAGCATGTTAACAAACACCATAATAAAAAATGCATTGCAAACAAAGACTTGGGAGGCACAGCTTTGTGTGTCTGCTGATCTCAGGAAGGGTTTACTCAAAGCATATAATGCATCTTATTCAATATTATTATTTTTGCTTCAGGGCACCACAATTCTGGCTTCCCTTCACTTCAAAACTGGAAAGAACAGGATCAAATCACTTTTAAATATTAAGGAAAATTAAAGTTTAGGGCACTTAACATGCACAATAAGAGTCACCAACAAACTGAGTAAGTTTTTCCCTTTGATACAAATTGATGCATTAATCAAGGTAACTATTCAATTGTTTACAATTATTTTCTCCAATATTCACTTTGATGCATTAAAACAAGGAAGAATTTGAGTCCAGGATTTGGCATTTTTCCTTCCTGTGCCTCTAGACTACAGGACATGGAAGTTTAATAAGTATAGCATAACCTGTTGCTATTTTGTGCCGAAGTCAGTTTTGCCATAAAACTTACAAGACTTAAGTGATAATTCTGTGTGCTTTCTCTAAATTCTTTCCCCTACACCAAGCCTAAGGTGGCTACAAAAGCATTTTGATGCCATAGTCTGTGATAAAGCAGATCAACTTTTGAGAGAGAAAAGCAGAAAGTTCTTAAGTAATATGAAAAACAAGAGTGAAGACGGTTGCTTTAAGCTGCATCTTGCCTATGGTTGCAAAACCAATTTAAATTATTTATTGTCTTTAAAAAAGAATATCCCTTTCCCATTTCAGGATGAAATGCCTTCAACATCCTTCCTTCTTAAAAAAAACAAAACAAACAAACAAACAACGTAATAACTTACATCCCCAACTAGTAGCAGCAGCTATTAATTCCGACCTGTGCATTAAAACATAGCTAGTAAAAAATAGCAAGGAATTTTATGGGAAAGGACATGAACAGACACAGCAGCGAAAATCTGAATGCCAGAAGGCAGGGAGAAGCAGCAGTAGTGCAGGCACAGCGTCAACCCCCTACCCTCTACCCCACCTCAACTCTTCTGTAGCTGAAGCTGCACTCACACTACAGCCTTTGGGGAGGTGGAAGGAGAGAAGTAGCAACAGCACAGGTACAGCTTCCAGCTCCCCAACCCCAGTTCAGCTCCTCACTAAAAAGTCCTAACATGGGCATAAGCATAGGCCAGGGGTGCGCAATTATTTTGGGCGGAGGGCTGCTTACTGAGTTTTGGCAAGTCATCAAGGGCCGTATGACAGGCCGCCAGGGGCAGATAAATATTAATTTTCTAAATTTTTTAGGGGTCCCGCAGGCCGGATGGAATGTCCTGATGGGCCGCATCTGGCCCATGGGACACATTTTGCCCACCCCTGGCATAGGCAAAGGCCTTTGGCTCCACGAGCCAGATCCAGTCCAGAGGCCATATTATGCCAACCTGTATGTTAGGCTGCAGTTTGGTGCCTATGAAAGGAAACTGGGATCTTTAGATGATATGCAGAGTCATCAGGATGTAACAAAATTTTCTGTTTGAAATGTTATGTTTCAAAATATGCTAAACACTTATTCTAAGTCTAGACATTTGGAACTATTTCATCTTGCAATACTTTTCAACTTGCTAGTTGGAAGAAAATCTGTAATCAGATGTTTACTAGTGTTTAAGAGATTACTTTTAAGAGCAAGCTTAAAACATACCCCATACTTGAAGCAAGCAGGCTGCTTCCTGCAAATGGAAGTCTGAAATATTCCAAGTGATTTTCAAACTGTGCCAAGATGAAGTAGTTTCAGCACCTCAACAGCACAGAATCCATTTACCAAAAGCATTAGCCCAGAGACCAGTTTAGCTGATGCTTCTCAATTTACAAGTACCATTTTAAGAGATACCGATGTTACAGGAAATCAATTTAAAAATGATTATACAGTTCAAGAGAAATAACGGTTAATGCGATTTTGAAGGAACAATCACTCTTCATGTAGGAAGAATAAGAATACTAAGTAGCAGCATGTTCCTTTGGGAGGGGCCAAAGGAATATCAGAAGTGACTTGCTTTTTACATCAAACAAGAAATGAAGCAGGTTATTTCAAAGGCTGCAAAAGTAAGTACAGAAGGCTCCATGATTGTTCCGATATATGGTATGGATACATATACAATAGTCCCAAAACACCGAGCCATCTTAATCAATTTCTTACTCTTGAAGAATATAAATTGGTGAATGCTCCTGGAGGAAGGAAACACCGAGTTACAATTTCTTTCAACTGTTCTCATAGTTATTACTTTCACTGACAGACTAACCCCAGTATAGATGAAATCTTAATACAACCTACAGTATTTCTACCAATTGCATCATAATTCAAAATCATCACTCTAATCCTGCAACTGCACATGACAGATAACATCATATTACGCCCTACTATTTAGATAACTAAAAGGAACGCACTGATGTTCAAAGTGATAGTCGTTTTGTGAGATGTGCTGCACATATTCTATACATCTCCAACATGTACAGGGGATGTTTACCAAAGCATCACATAAGCAGGAGAGGTGAATGTTGGTCAGTGGTGATTAAGATATTCTCCTAAGTATCCCTTTCCTGGATAGCTCCCTCCTTTTAAAAATTACTATAAATAAGTATTTTTATTTTATACTTTTACTGGAAAACACATTTTTTCCTTACAAGAGCAAGACTGTATATAATCTGAAAAAATGAATGCACCAGGGGCCTAAAACACGTATAGAAAAAGTATTTAGTGCTTATAACCAGAAGTCTTAATCTTTCATTTAGAATTTGATCATAAAAAACTGAAATCATTTACATAATACAAGATAAAAATAACTGAAGACCTTTCTTACTTAGCAGTCACCTTTACAAAGTGTTTTATTTATTTCATGAGCCACAGGAAGCTTGAGGTTGAAGCTAGGAAAGACCCCAGCACTTTAAGTCAAAACTTACAGAACAGCGTGTCATTTATTCTAACTAAAAGCTACCACTTTTCTTCCATTTCAGCAGAGGAGGGCACATAGGGCTAGAACCATTACAAGCCTCTGGAAGGAAAAAGCCTTAATATGGCCATACAGTCTTAGATATGGCGCCATTATCAGAGCCTCAAAAATATAACAGCCCCACACACCTACATTTTTTCTGCACTACTCTGCAATTGTGAAACAACATGTGTTTGTGTTGTACCTTTTGACCTAAACTGTACTGATTAGAGGTCGCCAGCAGAATTCCTCATAAAATTCTAATTACTCAGCAGTTTTCCAGCACGTGCCTAGGGAGAAGCAGGGATGGAAAGCTACTAATCTAGTGACAGTTTTGAAGGCCAACTTCTTATCCTTCATGGCTAGAAGAATGCCCCCCTCCCCCACGGAAGACCCATTCATCCCAGAATTCTATTGATAGAATTGCATAGAATGGCCAGGATAAATCTGAACAAAATGGATGTCGCTCCAGTGCCATCGGAGTTGTTCCTGCAAGAAATGTGGCCTTATGAAAGTCATAGCACATCAAGTGATAACATACCTGAAAATGTGTATTATCAGTATTTAAAGGAAACAAATCTAAAAATATTTACTCTAAGACAAAGGCAGTCTAAATTTAGAAAGAGAAGGATATGAAGTTACTGTCCATAAGAAAGCAGTTTTCTAAATTAGCTTTGTAGAAATTTTAATCTGAATACAGGCAGTCCTCGCACTTACGGTGGGTTTCATTCCTCAAAAAGGCGCTGCAAGTCAAAACGATGCAAGTCAAATCTGATTTTCCCACAGAAACAATTTTATAATAAGGGGTTACGTTCCTGACCAAGGGCCTGATGCCCTACTTTTTAGAGAAATTACCATAAACATCATATTTAAATCAACTATAAATGATACACACTGTACATAGCAAAGCTTTCTAAAGTGTACTGTATATAAATCGACTAAACAGGGCAATACAGTAGCTAATCACATAAAATTTTATTTAATCAGAAGGGTCATGGAATTCAGAAGGGCTTCTTTGGGGGAGATTTTGGGTAGACTTAGGGCCACCTGATGGCTTTTTGAGAAACTGATCCAGGGATGTTTGCTTTGCTGCCCTCTTTTTCTCATTGTAAATTTCCCCGTAGTGCGGTATGTGCGAGGATCCAACGCTGTAAGTAGTAACACAGGTGTAAGTGGCAGAGCACCAAAAGTGCAAATCACCGTAAGTTGAAACACCGTTAAGTCGAGGACTGCCTGTACCATACTAAAGAGTTAAGTAGCACTTTCCTGAAATAAAATCATGCATCCACCTCTGGGGAACAATACAGTAAACGTAAAACAATAAAATCCTTCATGCACAATTATGCAAATGTATGTGTACACACAAAACTATACTTGCCTTTGCCGTATAAATATTTATATTTATGCTTGTTTATCAAAATATAAATCCTATAATATGCACCATCACATGGAGATTAATTCTTAGATGATACAGTAACGAGCAACATAGATGAAAACAAGCTAAATGGGTTAAACCTTAGTGTCATATGTAAAAGCAGCAAATGTCTAGCAAACTCCTTTCTAAAACAAGTTTTCATCCTGTTCTTTTAGAAAAGATGAAAACTAGTAAAAATGTCAAGTACTGCAACTGTATTGGAAAAATAGACAATAGTATGATAAATAGTGATGTACCTTTTCTCTCCCTCTTCCCTACCTACAAAAAAATAATACCTATCAACATTAACTTAATTTGGTATTTAAAAGTGATGACCCAAAGATGATGGCAGAGATGCTAAGTCACTTACTCAGATATACGGAGGACGGTCTCTTTGCCTTCTTCAACTAAAATTTCAAAATCGTTCTTCACATGCTCTACAGTCAGCAAGGCTCCTAAAGAAAGAAAATATATTGGTATTTTTTCAGAGTAAGGAATATTTAATAGGTTGCAACAAAGTAATTATATTCCCTATTCATGATCACTGCCTTCAAACTGTGGGAAGAAATCAATGTTCAGTCCTATACATAAGAGGCTTCTTTTTCCTGGAAGCCCTCACAGACCAGAAAATAAAGAGGATAAAAGCCTGCAGTGACTTCAGCAAGGACTGGCTGAAATATATTTGCCTCCTAAGGGTATAAAATGAATTCATCTAAATCTACTAAGCTAAAGAAGAGACTCAAATTGCCAAACCTGAGCAGTGCACTCATCTACTCCTTCAACATAAGCTTGCCTTATGCCTCTTAGCAGTAGCATCTATGAGTACTTTATTTAACAACACACAGAGTTGTGTGCCAACACAACTAAAGAAACTGCTAAAGAAACTGAACACCTTGGACAAATGCCTTTGCATCCGATACCTGACCTGCACTAACATTTTAGTCAATCTCTACTGTGTATTCAACATG